TTGGTTTGAGAGAAGAGACCAAACAAAACAAAGCTTGGTTGAAACACACCTTTTTCTAGGCTCTTGATCCTCACCATGTTAACGTCCCACTCATAGTATAATGCAACTTGAGCATATAGATGAAGCTATTTGTTTTCTTGCACATATGATTCCTTGACCTGCAATTGAAAAACATGTAAGTATCATTAACACTATGGTAATGTGATTCTTGTCTCATATAATGTGATTCTTGTCTCATAATGGAAATTCAGTCACACTTCATAGTAGTGTAGCTGCTCGTTATTGGTTCCTCCAAGTCCACCATCAAGCTCTAGCCAAATGGGTATCAAATCAGTATAGAAGCCATCTACAACATTTTCGTCTCATTGGGTAGTTTTTTTTTTAGATACTACAAAAAACAACAATCAAACATTTATGGAGGAACAAAGCAAACACCTACTTCTGCAAATAATAGGATTGTAGAAACCAAGCTGACCGACTAATAAGTTAACAGCCTAGGGACTTAGAAACAGCTAGACAAGCTTTCAAGTTACCTTTGATCGCGCAAGAAATGTGCAGCATGCCAAACACATGTTTGAACAGTAACATGTGAATTGTTGTTGAATAGATCCATAGCCTCCAATGTATAGTAATAGTTGACAAAAGAAACCACTTGGGCATTGACTTTGGTTACGGTCTTGAAGTGTAAATTTGTCCCCTACAAATATGATAATGTAAAACAAAAGCCAATCCACAAACATAAGCAAAGAAGAACCAAGGAGAATAGATCATACCTTATGAGCGTTGAAGCAATGGAGTCCCACATTTCTCAAGAGTGCATCAAAGGGAATCCATCCAATGGGCCTTATCCCACCAAGTGTATGATCAAAATTATCAACATCGAATCTATGAACATGTAGAGATTAACTTTAAGTCCAAATGAAATCAAATCCTTTTGCAATAAACCTAACAATGAGATCGATCTTTATCTCAGAATCCCTGACTTGTTGAAGGTATTTGGCCATATCCACATGATCCATCCCTCCGTCCGTGTTGTCGTCTTCGTCGTAGATTTTCCAATCGTCTTTGTATTTTTTTTCTACATGTGTTGGTGGTGGAACATCGGTCGAAGTTTCCATCATACGCTTTCACTGAGCGTAAGATC